TCAGCAGGAGCCCCAGAAAAACATCTATCGTCTGTTAAACACAGCTTTTGGTCTGGTGCACCTGTCTGCTCACAGCTCTCTAGTCTGCCCCTTGTCCTTGGGTGGGAGCCTGGGGCTGAGACCTGAGCCACCCGTCAACTTCCCTCACCTGCGTTATGATGTAAGGCTCAATGCTCTTGTTCTGCTAGTAAAAGGGACTGCCCCATTCACCAGGTCAGCCTGTTCTTGAAGCCTCAGCTTGAACTCAGCTATGATGGGGCCTCTTAGATCACATCCTGTGTTTAACCAGCCTCAGGCCAATCACACCGATTTGTCTCCAAGCCCCCCGATCTCCCTGCCAGTACTATCCCGCTTCCACACCTCTTCCCAGAGCTGAAAGACTCAGTGCTCTTTTTGGTTTCCTCTTTATAGGCAACTCTGCCCTTCCACTGCAGTGCCATCCTGGCTACAGCCCTGGACACAATCACTGTTCCTTATCGCCTATATTCCTCACCACTCTCCATGGTTCATCTAGCCGATATGCTGAACTTCTCTGGGAAAAAGGTATGAAGCTTTGTGAGGGGTTCGGTCGGAACTGAGAAAAGGCCCTGTAACTTGGTTTTGTCCTTACCTTTAAGGTGGTGACAGCAGGAGCATCCATCCCCTTCCCTTTGGGTCCAAGCCAGTCCCTTCCTGATACCCTGATGCAGCTCGGAGGGGCCACCCCTTGGACTCCACTGTCTGCATGTGGGGACCCTTCTGGAACACACTGCTTTGCCCAGTCAGTGGTGCTGAGGGGTCTGGACAAAGCGTGCCACACCAGGTGAGGACTGGGGGTCCTTAGCAGCCCCTGTCAGGCCTGTTTCATGTTCTTTTCTCTCTAATACCTCTGGACATTCTCATGGTATTGCCCTTCTCTTCTTCCCTCTGTCCCACTTGAAAAAAGAAAAAAAACCTGAGCACCCCCATATTAAAGGTGATTTTGTCTTTGTTCGGGCAGTCGGCTCACCCCAGGTACACCTCTGCCTTCCCTACTCCATGCCTGCACCACTGGGGAGGAAGTCTTGGCCCAATACTTACAGCAGCAGCAGCCTAGAGCCAGGAGGTTAGTAAAACACTTGCTCCTGCTCTCCTCCTAGATCTCAGACCTCCCTTGACCTTTTCTCACTCAGCTGCTATTCTCTTGTCCCCAGTTCTTCTCATCTGCTGCTGACTCCCTGCAAGGTGGTTCCTCCTTATCCCTGCCTCTCCTCAAGCCTCAGCCAGCAGGGCGTGGTTCTGGATAATCCCCCAGCTGGGGCAGGTATGTAGGAGACGACGAAAACCAAGATTGACTCTATCACTTCCTGGATAAAGATACTTTAAAGTCACAGTCAAACATTTCTTTATTCATTCAGTGGTTCCCGAAGACTTTTCTTCCTCTGGAGTCCTGGTATACTAAGGGGACAGTACACAAAATTTATTGAGTTTACTTTATAATCAAGTCAACTAAAGACCCAGACTTCCCTATCTATACGACAGTCTCAGGGTGAAGAAACAATCTGACTGCAGGTCTCTTTTCTCTCTCCCTCTGCAGCAGGAGAGAGCATCCCAGTGCTTGGGGCCCTCCGTTCCTCTTCATCCTTGAACCGGACCCTGGGAGACTTGGCCAAGGAACTCACCAAACTCAACCTGCGGCGCTGGGCCAGCTTCATGGACGCTGGAGTGGAACAGGATGACCTAGGGGAGCTGCTGCAGGAGCTCTGCAGTCTGGCCCAGTGCTACCAGCATGGTGACAGCCTTATGGACTGAAGTTCCAAGAAAAGGAAAAAACTAGTTTACAATAAAAAGTGCTGGATGCAGGAGCTATGTCTTGGGACTGGCTACACCAACATACGCACTTATTACATTTATATAGAATCACTGTGCCTTACGTCACAATAAATGTGAACCATCAGGACAAAAAGTTCAAGAAGGGTAGAAAGGAACTGAGCCCCTCTCCCTCAACACTATTTACAAAACGACTCTAAAGACTTCGTAACAAACACTGAGTGAGGCGGAGAATGGCTGAGCCATGAAAACCCCCAGCCTTGCTCTGTCCTGTCCTTGGCGCTGCTCCGTCAGCTCTATACTGAGCTCAAGGGGCACACCGGCAAGGAACA